CTCTCTCTCTCTCTCTCTCTCTCTCTCTCTCCCTCCCTCCCTCCCTCCTTTAACACTGGACTATCTCTAAGCTCAATCTCTTCCCTTAGCCTCTTACCCACTCTCTCTGTGATGTCATGCAGTCCCGAGGTATTAAATATGACTATAGGCAGATGACTCCCAAATACTTCTAGACTGCTCAACAACTCCAGACTTTGGTCTCATTGCGGCCTCACCATTTCCATTTGGATGCTTGAGTGCTGTCTCATACTTAACAGGTCTCAATGTGAATGACTAGAGTTCTTTCCCAAACCAGCCCCTTACCCTCTTCTTCTCCACCTTAGTTCACAGAATTATTTTCCAATTGTTGAGGAAAAAAAATCAAAACAACAAAACACAGAAAAAGCCTTAGAGTCATCCTTGACTGGTCTGTTCCTTTCAAGGCAATGCCAAACCTCATCTGCTCAGGATTGAAAACACAAGAGGAATTACCACACTCCATGTTGAAAATCAGGTCCTGATTGATCTGGGCCATCACTGCTGTTGGCCTGGGACCGCACAGTGGCCTCCTGACTAACCCCTGCCCTCCCACTTCTGCCTTGTCCACCACATTCCCTTTTATTTTTTTTAAGAACATTTTTTGATTTATTTATTCATTTATTTATTTATTTATTTATTTATTACTGTGCGTGTATATAATGAAGGCTGGGGTAAGGGAGCAGTGCATGTGCCATGACATGAATGTGGAGTTCAGAAGTCATCTTCGTGGAGTCATTTGTTTACTTTCATCTTTACATGAGTTCTGGGAATGGAACTCGTGTCATTAGGCTTCCTTGGCATGTGTTTTACCCACTGAGCCATCTTGCCTGCCCTATTGAGGTGTCTTTTTAGAAACTCAGCATTGCTGCTGTGGTTTCTGTAGGTGTCCTCAAAGATAGTTAGAGCCATGGGATCAGTTGTAAAGAGCCATTGTTCCTGTATCTGGGCCATGGAAAATGAAAATGAGGTGTGTGCCATTGTCTTCTAAAGCTGTATCCCGTATGTGGATGATGGAAAATAATCCAGAGCTGTGTACTTTTCTCCATTGAGTTGGGATTGGCATTTGGGGCCTAGGCACTTGGCTATTGGTTCTTTCAGTGACTGCACAGAGCTGTGTTTCCTCCATTGTGCAGGTTATGTGAAGTTACCGCCAGAGAAATTTGCCCCCAAGAAGCAGGGTGATGGTGGGAAGGACCTCCCCACAGAGGCGAAGAAGCTGCAGCTGAATTCTGCAGAAGAACTCTATGCCGAGATCCGGGACAAGAATTTCAATGCTGTGGGATCCGTGCTCAGCAAGAAGGCGAAAATCATCTCTGCAGCATTTGAGGTAAGACAAGCCTTGGGGCATCCTGCTATACTCGGTGTGCCAGATGGAATGCCTGCCAGAGGAGAGTAGAGCTCCCAGACCACATGGCAGTGTAGCACAGGCCTTCTTGAATGTTGTCCACTCATGACCTCTTTTTGCCTGAGATATTTTTATAGGACCTGCATATATAGGTATGTAGCATAGATATGCAAATCATAAGGGAATTTACTTTAAAAAAATTGTTTCATAGGCCGGGCGTGGTGGTGTACACCTTTAATCCCAGCACTTGGGAGCAGAGGCAGGTGGATCTTTGTGAGTTCAAGGCCAGCTGAATCTACATAGTGAGTTCAGGTCAGCTGGGACTACAGGGAGACCCTGTCTCAAAAAGAC